CTTTCCCTGCAAAAGACTCTGCTGGCTCCAGTCTGACCTCAGACAAATCCCCTTTCTGCTTCTTTTCATGTAAACGTGGCACAGCGATACAGATCACTGCAGGGGCTGAGTGAGGCACCCATCTACATTTTGTAAGTCAGAGACTTTATTCTTACTCAAAGCACAGACACGCACACAGACAAATATTTAATTCTCACGTCTATTGTTATTTTTAATTTTTGTAGGAATTCCTATAGAAAGAAGCTTAATATAACCACAAGCGTGGGATTTCCCCCCCCTCCTTTTTAAACTTGATCTCTGGTTTTGCTGTAGGGAGCTGGCAGGTTCCAGGGCCTGTGAAACCCGGCTCTGGCACCAGAGGGCACGCTGAGCTCCACAGCTCACTGAAGCTACCTGAAATATTTCCACTGAAATTAGTTTTCAAGGGGAACTCTTTGCTTTTTATAATGCCTTTATTTTTACAAGAAATAGCTACTTTCTTCTGAAAACTTTTGGAGGAGGTTCATCTAAATACTTCTTTCCAAAGCCTGCAGATTTTGGGCCGAGGGGAGCACAGAGCTTTCTTAAAGCTACTTGGACAATTCTACAAAACCTACAGTTTCTCTTGTCATATTTTTCAGGGCACGAAAAAAAAAAAAATTACAGAGCAGATCTAACTGCAAATCTATGTGCTTTGTGGGTTTTGTGACCCTATCCCCAGGGGAGAACAGCCTGAAAGAGACAGTGGGACAGCATGAAGCTCACAAGTATGAGAATGATAATCCTTTTCATGGGAGCGCTCTGGCAGAGGGGGGTGCCTGAGGAGAAACTCTATTATTGGCCATTTAGTTCCAAGGGAAATGCTGGAGGATGCCAAAGAAAAGAGAGACATGAATGCAGGCTGTGCACTCCGAGGGGTAGGTGCAGAGATACCCGCCACGGGGATCCCGGCCGATAAACAGCCAGCCACACACAGGTGAGCAGACGCAGGCACGCACACACGCAGCATCAGGCACCAGGGAAAATCCGGGGTATTTTTCCACAGTATTTGCCAGTTGGCAGCTTTAGAAATACTTTGTAAACATCAGTTGATGAAGGTTAAAGCACACAGAGAGTCATCCTCTTGCAAGGTAGGAGAGGAGCACAGTTCCCTTTCTACGGGCAGAAAGCGGAGAGATTAAAGGCTCTGCTCTCAATCAATACTTCTATGTTTAAGTGCACAGTTATGAGCTACTCTACTTTTCCAGAGAAGCTCGCTCGCTCCCTGCAGCTCCTGACCACTTCACTTGGGATGAAGAGGGCCAATTTTAATATTTTTGGCCTATGTACCATGCCTAGGCACAGACGGCGTCAGGGGCAGCACCGGGAACAGCAGCGATAACCAGACGTCTGCCCACCCAGCGGGTCAGACTTCCCTCGCAGAGCTGTACGTGTCAGCCTGCAGGCGAGGAACCAGGTTTGTGCACAGCCACACGTGTGCAAGAGAAGGGACACGCAAGGAACGCTTTGGTCAATACCAACTATATTGGGAAGTCCGCGAGGCAAAAGCTGTTTTTCTCCAATTTGGGACAACAGCATGCATCTTGGCTGTGTTCCACGAACAAAAGTAATAGTAAACCGTGTCATGGATGCTGCAGGCAAGAGGAGAACTGAGT